ATATTTATATAGTAGGGTGGCATTGATCAACTAACGCATAATCGAGCGATAACGAAAATACATAATTACTTGATGATCTAAACTTTGCGCGAAGAACTCGGTCTGGTGGCTTGACCGTGAACAGGAACCACTTGACAGAGTGATATGATAGACTGGTGCCTGGTAGACGTCAGCTGGAAAAGTATAGAGGGAAGAGGGGGGATAAACATGAACACGTGGTGAAACCGCACGAAGAGAGTACCGCACGTCAAACGAATGGGTACGTAGTAAGTACGATAAAACGCCCACGGTTATAATTCACGGACACTACCGGAAGTACGATTACGGCTCTTGATGCTCATTTCAACTTAAATGGGGTTGGCCATAAGTATGCGGATAAATACGCGCTATGAGCTAAATACACTATAGCGGTGAGACACGGCGGCAGAACACATTCGATCGAAATTACATTGTATCGTCGTCACAAAAAAACAATAACCATTACGAATGGATCGTGAAACCAGACCAAACTGAGAGGCCGTGGGGGACATTGCATAAAACATACATGAACCGGCATATAATGGCATGACGGGCGGGAAGGGAATATTCATGGAGTACGACCTTGACCCGTATCGCGATGAAAATAGACCGTTTCGACTTATCGAGCACCAACAAACACAACTATTAAAAGTCCTAAACTGTTATGAATTATGATAATAATATAATACCGAATATTATGTTCAGTTGAAAAATGAATGACCGTAATAATCTTTCAAGCGAATAACGGTGTAGGATGTAAGAAAAAATTTTGAGACTACGCTGTGAAAAAACATTTCGTGAAACGCAATGTCCAAGTAGTCATTTGATGTGAAAACTTCCAAAAAGTTGATTAGGTATAAAACGATTATATCCCAACAGCAAACACTCGTTATTTTAATACGAACGTAATCGTGTATCTAAAATTTTCTGAAAAAGTTTTTAGAAAAATGAGTGTTTATTATTACTATTAAAATAATATCAGTTTTAACTTATAATACATAGTTGAAAAAATCCTGAAAATTTCTCAAAAGAATCACTTAAGCGTATCGAAGAGAAAAGAAAAAAAACAATTTGATTATTTAGTAATGTTGTACAGGTAAGCATATTATATTAGTAATATACACGATAAAATTAATCGGTTTTTACAAGTACCATAGATACCATTAGATAACTACTTAACTTTACAAAACATATACATATTACATATTCACAAATACACATTTTATAATAATAATTCCTATAGTGTATGTTATTATTGTTATCATAAAAAACATTTTTATACAAATATAAAATACATTTAGTATTGTGAAGTACCTACATTCTGCCAGGTAAATAAATATTAATCTAATCATAAAAAAAATGTTGAAATGTAATAAACGTAATAAAAAATGTTATTTAATAAAATATATTAATACATTATAATATCAGTATACAAATCAATTGTGTGTGTCATTCAATGAGAATTTAACTCAAGTTTAATATCGAAAATTGCAAATTTACATGTTTTGGTTTTAATCTAAACCTAATGCATTTCAAACATTTAACAACGCTGTTTAAAATAATTTTTGTGTTCACAAAATATATTTCAATGTAAATACGTTTAAAATGCATGTCATTCTAGCATCTAAAGTGGTAAATTATTAAACTTCGTGTCTACTGATCATTCAATAAACATAATAAAAACAATAACAACAACTCATTTTTATTGAACAACCTTATTATACAAAAAAAAAAAATACTGTTAATATTACACAATAACACTGAACGACGAAGTTAAGGTTACTTTGCTTATAAAATATGCTACGCGTGCAAGTTTTAATTTGAATACATTTATTATATTCAGGGATCACGACAAAAGATCTATTTTCTTTATATATCCCATATGGCGTAGCGACGTACCGTAAGTACAGAATTTCTCTTCCAATTTTCAAAACAACGCCTTTGTACGGTTTATCTTCGGGTGTACAGACTCCCTTACATATTACAAAACATTATCATAATTATAATGGTGGATATTAAACTTTGCCGTTTGTTTTTGTGTTTCATTCTCTAGAAAAAAATATGCAAAGTATATTTTGACTGATTGTATTGTTTTTATTATTTTTTTTTTTTTTTTGTTACTTTTATTAATTTATTAAATTATTTAATTAAAACGAAGTTTGTCACCCAAAATAAATTCGAATTGCATCAAAATTGCATACCAAATAAATAAGTATAAATTGGAATATCCAAATTGCATACCGTCTCTTAGAGGAGTCTGTTGGAATTGCATGCGCTGTATACTTTTACTAAATTAATTAATTTAACTTACTTCTCCACTGAAAGAACGGGCTTTTGTTTTATTACAATTAAATACACAAATATTGGAAAAGATGATAGGTACTGAGAAAATATTGAATACTAAATTAAACGATTGCAGTTTAGATAATAAAGTGAATATTACATTTTTATATTGTATTCGTTTAATAATTATTTCATTATAAAATTTGATATTTTTTTAAAATAATTTCAAGTAAAAAATATCGAAATTTCAACATATTTTAAATTTATATATTAAAATAATAATATTGTTTATATTGTCATCATGGGCGCCCATAGGTAATATTGTAGGGAGGGTCAAAATAATAAAATTTTCGAATGTAAGATAATAAAGATTTAATGTTATTTTTCTCATATAAATGTATACACTATACATGCATGTTATATTTTTATTTGTATATATATAGTGTATTAATATAATAATTGCCATACGATTAAATAAATAAATAAATTAATAATAATTTTAATAAGTATATAAAAAAAATAGAAATTAAATAATATAATTAAGTATATTATTCGGTATCAGTAAATAAGAACTGTAAATTTCTTCGTTTTATTCCAAACATATTAATGACATCCTGAATGAAAGTATCCTTGTTTGCGTTAGGTTAAAATATTTTTAGTACCTATATTGTGATCTTTATAGATTTACCACAAATTATCTGCGATAAATTATTTTACGTATAGGTTATACAGACTACAGAATACGACCTATCTATGATGTTAATATACGATAACAATGAGTATATTTTTATATTTATTTCATATCTTAAAAGTGATTTCAACAAATAATTTGCCTCGGTAATAAGGTAATATTGTAGTAATATTTTTTCCAGGGGGGGGGAAGTGCCCTGTCTTGCCCCCCCCCTAATGGGCGACCATGGGTATAACAGATTCGTTGTACCATTTACTTATAAATATAATTGATTTATTATGAACATTATGCTTAAAGGAATTTATGGTTACACTAGTTTCATCAGTTGGCTCATCAATAGAATAACTGTCATTGTCATAACTATTTGTTATATTATTTAAAAATGGAACGTAATTCTACTGATACTTGAAAAGATAATAAAAATATCTTTAAATGTTTAACTACCTATTTGAGAATTGTTATAATCGAAACTGCAACTATTTATAACATTTGTCATTAATATTTTATTGAAATTTCCATCAGAAAATAGATTATAATCAATATTTGATTCCTTCTATAAAATAACGAAAAAAATGGTATGCTTCGTTTCAGTTACGTATTGCT